GGGTGCCTCTTGGGCCGTGTGGAGGCGGTCCGGGGCCGTCTGAGGGTTGTTTGGGGCCGTCTTGGACGTCTCTGGAGCAGTCTGGGCACCGTCTGGGGGTCGTCTAAGGCCATCCTGGGCCGCTCTTGAAGCTGTCTTGGGTGCCCCGTGGGCCGCCAGGGGCGCCTTAGGAGCCGTCCTAGGGCCATCTTGGGCCTCTGCATGGCCGTCTGGACGCTATGAAGAGGGCAAGCCCAGGAACTGCCAAAATGCACGTTTCCCCGAAGGGAATGGGACGATTTTTTCAGTTTTCGGGCTCTCTTGAGGCTCGTCGTGGAGCACTTGGAGCGTGTTGGAAGCCTCTTGGGCCGCCTGCAGGCCATCTGAGGCGTTGTCGGGGCCGTCGGGGGAGTGCCTGGGTCCGCCTCGGGCGTCTCTGGAGCAGTCCGGGCACCGTCTGGCGGTCGTCTTGGGCCGTCCTGGGCCGCTCTTGAGGCTGTCTTGGGTACCCGCGGGCCGCCAGGGGCGCCTCAGGAGCCGTCCTAGGGCCATCTTGGGACCATGTATGGCCGTCTTGGACGCTATGAAGAGGGCAAGCCCGGGAACTGTCAAAATGCACGTTTCCCCGAAGGGAATTTGATGATTTTTTGGTGTTCGGAGTCTCTTGAGGCTCGTCGTGGAGCACTTAGGGCATTTTGGAAGCCTCTTGGGCCGCCTGCAGGCCATCTGAGGCGTTGTCGGGGCCGTCTGGGAGCTGCCTGGGTCCGCCTTGGGCGTCTCTGGAGCAATCTGGGCACCGTCTGGCGGTCGTCTTGGGCCGTCCTGGGCCGCTCTTGAGGCTGTCTTGGGTACCCCGTGGGCCGCCAGGGGCGCCTCAGGAGCCGTCCTGGGGTCGTCGTGGGCGGTCTTGGGGCCCTCATGGGAACATCTTGGAGCGATCTTGGGGGCCTCTATGGCCGTCGTGGACGCGTCGGGAATGAAAAGCACGATAATGCCCCAAATGCGCGTTTTCCGAAAGGGGATTTTAAGATTTTGACATCTTGGGGCTCTCCTGGGAGGTCCTCCAGGGCCGTCTTGGGAGCCTCCGGGGACGTCTTGAGGCCACTTGGGCGCCTCTTGGGCTGCCTTGGGACCGTCTTGGGCCGTCTTGAGCCGCTGTTGGAACCCTCCTGGGTTCCTCTTGGGCTGTCGTGGGGCCTCTTGGGCCATCCAGGGTCCGTCTGGGCCCGCCCGAGGGCGGTTTTGACTGGGTCCCCCGCCATTCTGGCACGCGGCTCCCCTGGCGTTAGAATATAGACTAAAGCTGACCCGTGGACTTACGTCCACGACAGCTTCTGTTGAAAATGATCTGGTGCTGCCTGACCTCGTATGACCACAGATTAGCTCGACGAGCTGGGCCGTCCTGGGCCGTCTCGGGGTTCAACCGGGTTCTCTGGGGGTCTGTTGACCCGTCGTGGAGATCTCTGGAGGGCGTGTCGGGCCGTCTGGAAGCTCTCCGAAACCTTCTGTAATATTCTGGGAGCCCTCTGGGGCCGCCCTTGGGCTCTCTTGAGGCAGTCGGAGACAGCCCAGAGGGCCCTAAGACGGCCCGAAGACGGACCCAGACGGCCCAAGGAGGCCCCGAAAACAACCCAGGAGGCTCGATGGGGACCCCCAGAAGGCCCAAGGTGGCCCGCAAGGAGCACAAGAGTCTCCCCCGAAGCCTTCTTGGAGCTGTCTCGCGTCGAAAAGCCTGTGAAGCAAAATACATACATCTTCCTTTGGGTGTTGGAAAGCTTTGCAGTTGCCGTGGTCTTCCGGACAATTCCTGCAAGGCCTCTTGGGGCCGTCTAGGGGCCTTTTGGAGGCCTCTTGGAACCGCTTGAGATCTCTCGGGGGCCCTGTCTGGCGGCTGTCGGGGCCAATTCTGGCCATCTCGGACATTACCGAAGGCTGTCTCTGCGACGTCTTGGGAACCCAGAGCCCACAGGGACCCGGAGGGAATGCCGACGCCGCTGGAGCCGCCAAAGCGATTGGCCCACGCACTTGTCCCAGAATTGAGGGGATGATGATGATAGCTTCGTGCTCCAGTTTCAGAGTTGTTGACGTTGCGGCTCACTCTCAGGAGCCTCGGGTTGCAGAGCTTACTGTGTCACCGTTCGCTCTTGGGAACATTGGATTGAACAACTTTTTACTGTACCGATCGCTCTTTTATTTGGCGTCTGTGCGCCTTCTCAGTGCTCCTTGTGGGAGACTTGTTGGGCCCCTTCAGGAGCCCTGTTGGGCCAATCTGTTGCCGTTTTGGGACGTCTTGGGGCCCGTTTGGGCCGTCACGGGGCGTCTTGGGGCCCTCTTGCACCGTCTTGGGGCCCTCTTGGGGGCCGCTTGGGTCGTCTTGGGGGGTTTGGGGGGGCCTCTTGGCCTGCCTGGACCGTGCAACAATGCAAAAAGCGGATATGCTGAAAATGTACGTTCTCCCATGAGAATGTGGCCATTTTTGCTTCTTTGGCGTCCCTTCGGGGCCCTCTCGGAGCGTCTTTGGGGCCTCTTGGACCGTCGTTGAGCCACCTTCCGAGGTCTTTGGGGCGTCTTGGAGGCCTTGGACCGTCTTGGGGCTCTGTGGAGGGCTTCCTGGGGCCCTCTTGGGAGCCTCTTCGGGCCCTCTTGGAGCCCTCTTGGGGCCGTCTTGGGGCCCTCTCAGGCCGTTTGAGGGCCCTCTTCGGCTATCTTTGGGCCCTCGTGCACCGTCTTGGGGTCCTCTTGGGAGCCGCTTGGGTCTTCTTGGAGGGTTTGGGGGGGCCTCTTGGTCTGTCCTGGACCGCGTAGCAACGCAAAGGGCGGATATGCTGAAAATATACGTCCCATAGGAATGCGACCATGTTTGCCTCTTTGGCGTCCTCTCGGGGCCCTCTCGGAACGTCTTTGGGACCTCTTGGACGATCGTGCAGCCACCTTCGGAGGTCTTTGGAGGGTCGAGGCCAGTCTCGGCACCAATTGGGGCCGTCTTGGGGCCCTCTTAGAGCGTGGGCTTGAGCTCGCTCAAGCTTCGCTCTGCAAGGGGGGGGGAGACGCCAACGACGAAAGAATTGTCCCCAATGCCGGGACCGCCCCCCCATGCACCTTCCTCTCCAACGCCCCCCCCCTCTTCCTGCACCCCCCCCTTCCCCTGCAATCTCCTCTTCGCCCCCCCTCTTCCTGTGGGGGGAAGGAGGGGGGGACAGGAGAGAGGGGGGGGGGGGAAAGGAGAGAGGAGGGGGGGGGACAGGAGTGAGGGGGGGGATGGAACAGGAGAGGGGGGGGGACAGGAGAGTGGGGGGGGGAGAGGGAGAGTGGACAGGAGAGAGGGGGGGGGGGGGAGAGAGGGGGGGGGGGGGACAAGCTAGGTGCGCTCGCGTCATATCTGACGTCCTACCCCTCCCTCCCATCCCTTACCATGGCGCTGATTTTCTCTATCCGCGGACGCGTGTCGTAGCGGACCTGTGGCTCCGCGCGCGCGTGCGTAGTGGGTGGTGGTGCACGTGCGTGCGTGCGTGCGTGTGTGCGTGGTTGTCGTGGTGGTGGTGGTGGTGGTGGTGGTGGTGGTAGTGGTGGTGGTGGTGGTGGTGGTGTGGTGGTGGTGGTGGTGCTGGTGGTGGTGGTGCTGGTGGTGGTGGTGTGGTACTGGTGCTGGTGGTGGTGGTGGTTGTGGTGGTGGTGGTGGTGGTGGTGGTGGTGGTGGTGGTGGTGGGCGCGGTGCGGCGCGGTGGTGGCGGGCGGATGGGCGCGCGAGAAAAAGGCCCGCGCTGGGGCGAGAACGCCATCCTGAACGACGGAGGCCAAACACCGATCCGAAAATGAGGCCCACGCTGCAGCGGGAGCACGATTCGGAACGATTCGGGAGCAGAAATGAGGCCGGCGCCTCAACGCGAGCAGCATTTTGGGAAAAATGACGCCGGCGCCTCAGCGAGAGTCGTTTCCCGGGATTTCCCGGGCATCCTGTGTGTAAAAAAACAGTACGCGGAGGGTGCGCGGCCATCACCCGGACGCCATCGGGGGAAGAGGGAGAGTATTTCTATATTGAGTAATTGTGAAGGAGAGAAGGGGGGGGTAGGGACAGGAGAGAGGAGGGGGGGGAGAGAGAGAGGGGGGGGGACAGAAGAGAGAGGGGGAGACAGGAAAGAGGAGGGGGGGGGGTGGGGGGGAGGGGCGGATCATCACCATCACCATCACCATCCCATCACCACACCATCACCATCACCATCACCATCACCATCACCATCACCATCACCATCACCATCACCATCGTCCATCATCATCATCATCATCATCATCATCATCATCATCATCATCATATCATCATCATCATCATCATCATCATCATCATCATCATCATCATCATCATCATCATCATCATCATCATCATCATCATCATCATCATCATCATCATCATCATCATCATCATCATCATCATCATCATCATCATCATCATCATCATCATCATCATCATCATCATCATCAACATCAACATCAACATCAACATCATCATCATACGGAGCGCCCCGGATCGGCGGCACTGGCCGGAGGCCACTGCAATATACGTCCCATAGGAATGTGAGCATGTTTGCCTCTTTGGCGTCCTCTCGGGGCCCTCTCGGAACGTCTTTGGGACCTCTTGGACGGTCGTGCAGCCACCTTCGGAGGTCTTTGGAGGGTCGAGGCTCGTCTGGGCACCAACTGGGGCCGTCTTGGGGCCCTCTTGGACCATCTTACGACCCCTCTGGGGCGCCTCTTGCGCCGGCGTGGGCGAATCGACCACGTGGTGAGGCCGTAAAGGGGCGAGTTTATCCACATGAGTCCCTGCAGGTTTGGCACGCGCTTCCTCCCGCCATGTAGGAGAGATGACGTTGGGCTCCAGCTTCGCCTCCCACATCTCGCTCAGCAGCGCAAGCGCCCGCTGCCACTGCTCGCCTTTCTCGCACGCGCTGATCCCAGCGCTATAGCTGATGACGTTGGGCTCCAGCTTCGCCTCCCACATCTCGCTCAGCAGCGCAAGCGCCCGCTGCCACTGCTCGCCTTTCTCGCACGCGCTGATCCCAGCGCTATAGCTGATGACGTTGGGCTCCAGCTTCGCCTCCCACATCTCGCTCAGCAGCGCAAGCGCCCGCTGCCACTGCTCGCCTTTCTCGCACGCGCTGATCCCAGCGCTGTAGCTGATGACGTTGGGCTCCATCTTCGCCTCCCACATCTCGCTCAGCAGCGCAAGCGCCCGCTGCCACTGCGCGACTTTCTCGCACGCGCTGATCCCAGCGTTGTAGCTGACTAGGGCTGACCCGTGGACTCCGTCCACGACATCTTGCCGAAATGGTTCTAGGGGGAGCGGCGGAAACGCTGCCGAAAGGCTATCCACATGGCGGCGCTCCGCCGGCGCCTGGACGGTGGTTGGGGCCCACACTCAGTCGAACTGGCGGGGCGTCCCGCGGGCCTGCACAGCCTGTCGCGGCCGAGGAAGGGGAGGGCAGAGCTGTCAGAATCGGTCCCTGTGCCCTCCCCCACTGTCGAAGCGCACCAGTGTTGTCTGCTGCGTCCAGCCGTGGCGGGAAGGCGAACTGTCTGTGTGTGAACTCGGCCTCCGCCGATTTCGTCTGGCCCGAGCCTGGGCAGAGGCTGGCATCCTCTCTGCGTCCATCGGGGCTGGAGGCGCTCTCCTGGCCGCCTCCGGGGCCGTCCTGGCCGCCTGTGGGGCCGTCGTGGGGCCCTTTTGGGCTCATCTTGGGGCTTTTGGGGGGGCCTCGTCGGCCGTCTTGGAGCCGTCTTGGGAACGCCTTGGGCGGCGGTGGATCGTGTGGAAGCCGACGAGGCGAGCACGGCAAGAACCGTGCAAAAAGCAATGAACATCTAGGAATTGTCTTGCTCGGGGCCCTGTGGGGAAGCTTCTCGGGAGGTCTCATTGAGCACCTTGGAGATCTGTCGGGCCTGCTTGGGCCAATGTTGGGCCAATCTGGAGCGTCTGTGGCACATCTGGGGGCCTGTTGAGCCGACTTGGGGCCCTTTTGGGCCTGTCTTGGGGCGGCTCTCTTTGGGTCCCTTGTCGGCCGTCTGGGAGCCGTCTTGGGAACGTCTTGGGCGTTCGTGGATCGCCTGGAAGCGGAGAAGGCGAGTACCGCAAAAACCCTGCCAGAAGGAATGAAAATCAATGTTTTGTCCTGCTCGGGGCCCTCTGGGGAAGCTTCCCGAGAGGTCTCTCGGATCACCTTCGAGACCTTTCGGGCCGGCTTGGGCCAATCTTGGGCCAATCTTGAGCGTCTGGGGCCCAATCTGGGGACCTGTTGAGCCGACTTGGAGGCCCTCTGGGCCCGTTTTGGGGCTCTCTTGGGGCCCTCTTTGGCCGTCGAGACGTCTTGGGAACGTCTTGGGCCCTCGTGGATCATGTGGAAGCCCAAAAGTCGAACACTGCAAAAACCCTGCGAACACATTTTAAATCAATGCTTTTTCCTGCTCTTGGCCCTCTGGGGAAGCTTCCCGGGAGGTCTCACGGAGCACCATGGAGGCCTCTCGGGCCGGCTTGGGTCTCCTGGGGGTCTCTTGGCGTATTTGCGAGCCTCTCTGGGCGGCCCAGGGCGGCCCGGGGCCAGCCTCTGGGGGTCTGTTGAGCCGACTTGGAGGCCCTCTGGGCCCGTCTTCGGGCTCTCTTGGGAACGTCTTGGGCCGTCGTGGATCGTGTGGAAGCCGAAAAGGCGAACATCAAGGATTTTCCTGCTCGGGGCCCTTTGGGGAAGCTTCAAAGCGTCGGCTAGCCGAGAAGGCGAGAAGGCAAAACTCAAAGCATTGAACAATGAATGATTTTGGCCTCTGGGGGCATGCTTCGGAGGACTGTTGGAGGCTCTTGGAGGCCTCTTGGGCCCTGTTGGCGGCCTCTAGGGGGCTCTTGGACGCTCCGTGGAGCCTCTTATGGGGCCTCTTGGGGGCCGCCTTGGGGCCTCGTGGGGTTTGCTGTGGGCTTCTTGGGGCCTCTGGGGACCTATCGGCGTTCCTTTGGGGGGGTCTTGGGGCCTTGTGTGGGCGTATGGGGGCCCAGGGTTCGGAGTGTCAGGGTTTTTCCTTGTTCTTTGGCCCCTGTCATGGGCCTGGCTTGGGGTCCTCTGGAGTCTGGGGCCGTCTTGGGCGCCTCTTGGGCCATCTTGGGGCTCTCTGGGCCGTCTGGGGACGCGCTTGGGGGCCTGTTGGACCGTCCTGGGGCGGTCTCTTGCGGGTCTCTTCGGCCGTCTTGGAGCGTCGGCTAGCCGAGAAGGCGAGAAGGCAAAACTCCTCCCCAAACAATAGAAAATCAATAATGTTGGCCTCTGAGGGCATGCTTCGGAGGACTGTTGGGAACTCTTGGAGGCCTCTTGGGCCTTTTTGGGTGCCTCTAAGGGACCTCTTGGGCATTCCGTGGAGCCTCTTCTGGGGCCTTTTGGGGGCCGCCTTGGGGCCTCGCGGGGCTTGCTTTTGGCTTCTTGGGGGCCTCTGGGGACCTCTTGGCGTTCCTTTGGGGGGGTCCTGGGGCCTTGTGTGGGCGTATGGGGGCCCAACGCTCGGAGTGTCAGGGTTGTTCCTTGTTCTTTGGCCCCCTCTGGGGCCTGGCTTGGGGTCCTCTGGGGCAGTCTTGGGCGCCTCTTGGGCCATCTTGTGGCTCTCTGGGCCGTCTGGGGACGCGCTTGGCGGCCTGTTGGACCGTCCTGGGGCGGTCTTGTGGGTCCCTTCGGCTGTCTTGGAGCGTCGGCTAGCCGAGAAGGCAAGAAGGCACAACCCATTCAAAAAGCCACTGAACAAGTAATGAGTTTGGCCTCTGGAGGCATGCTTCGGAGGACTGTTGGAGGCTCTTGGAAGCCTCTTGGGATTTGCTGGGGGCCTCTAAGGGACCTCTTGGGCATTCCGTGGAGCCTCTTCTGGGGCCTCTAGGGGGCCGCCTTGGGGCCTCGTGGGGGTTGCTGTGGGCTTCTTGCGACCTTTGGGGACCTCTTGGCGTTCCCTTGGGGGGGGTCTTGGGGCCTTGTGTGGGCGTATGGGGGCCCAACGCTCGGAGTGTCAGGGTTTTTCCTTGTTCGTTGGGCCCCCCTGTTGGGGTTCTCTGGGGCCGTCTTGGGCGCCTCTTGGGCCATTTTGTGGCTCTCTGGGCCGTCTGGGGACGCGTTTGGCGGCCTGTTGGGCCGCCCTGGGGCGGTTATGTGGGTCTCTTCGGCCGTCATGGGGCGTCGGCTAGCCGAGGATGCGAGAAGGCAAAACTCATTAAAAAAACACACTTGAAAATCAATAATTTTGGCCTCTGGGGGCATGCTTCGGAGGACTGTTGGAAGCTATTGGAGGCCTCTTGGGCCTTGTTGGGGGCCTCTACGGGGCCTCTTGGACGCTCCGTGGAGCCTCTTATGGGGCCTCTTGGGGGCCGTCTTGGGGCCTCGTGGGGCTTGCTGTGGGCCTCTGGGGACCTCTTGGCGTTCCCTTGGGGGGGTCTTGGGGCCTTGTGTGGGCGTATGGGGGCCCAGGGCTCGGAGTGTCAGGGTGTTTTTTGTCCCGTTCTTTGGCCCCCTCTTGGACCTGGCTCGGGGTCCTCTGGGGCCGCCTCGGGCGCCTCTTGGGCCATCTTGGGGCTCTCTGGGCCGTCTGGGGACGCGCTTGGAGGCCTTTTGGGCCGTCCAGTGGCGGTCTCACGGGTCTCTTCGGCCGTCTTGGAGCGTCGGCTAGCCGAGAAGGCGAGAAGTCAAAACAGCTTTTTGTTTGCCTGGATATTGATAATGCCTGCATTATGTTCAAATGCTGTCTCGAGATCAGGGGGCTCCACCGAAGCCATGGCAAGGAAGGAGTGTTCCGTTAAGCTGACTACAGAAGTATGTATGAAGTGAAGAGTGCAAAGACTCCCCCCGCGGCGGGGCGCGTAGGGCCGCCCGGATCCCCCGCCCACCCGGCCCGTGCAGATGTACAGCCACGGGAGCCAACCCCAGAAACAATTCTACGGCTCGGCCGCGGTTGCCGAGGGGCGTGAGACCGGAACAACCCGACGTACCCCACCAGAGCTATATCTAAAGCCAGCTCATACCACAAAGACCTCCCACTCCTATCGCACCCACATCACGTTGGCGAAGCCAAGCGACGTGGGACTGACGCCGACGAAGTCGCACCAGTCCGTCTGCAAAATATCATCCCCGCCAATCTTCTTCTCGGCGCTGAGGGCGATTCCAGTCATAGCTGGTCCGCCGCTGACGGCGGTCGTAAGGTATTTGCCTTTTCCACCGCTCCAGCCACTGCGCTCGCCCTTGCTCTTGCCCTTGTCGACCGCCCTCGCTCTAGGCAACGGCGGCGGCGGTGGCGCGGGCAAGGATGCAGAGGCAGTTCTCAGTGCTTCGCGAGCTTGATCATCGGAGACTGGGTTTCCCGCAAGTACATTTCCAGTTCTGACCCAAGCCTGTCGGCGGGGCGCCCAGTCGTCTCCCCACGATTCATCTTCGCGGTCTCTCATGAATTGCGTTATACTCCTCAACGGCGAAGCAAAACCATGTTCTTTACTCGTTATTCGCCGATGGCGATCCACATGAACCCAACAATATCCCTTGATGTTGCCGTTGTCGCCCTTGTCAGCGCGGTCCAGCAAAGGGCCCCGGCCGCCAACGCGCTCGCGGCCGCCTACATCATCTACGGGCTCATCAGCCCACGCAAGCGACCGATCCCATTCGCTCGATTCGGTAGGGGCTCTACGCGACCTCTGATATCGCGGTCAGGGTCGCTGCCCGACGCGGTTGGGCCGGTGGGAACTGGCTTAAAGGCGCGTCTCTCATTCCAGCCAGTCCGAGCCCCCTCAGTGGCGCCCGTAGGACGCCTCGGAGGTGTTTGGGGATTTCGCGCGCTTTCCCACTCCGAGACGGCAGAGCCGCCAGGAGCGTCAGCTGCCGTGCCCGGGGCCATTGGGCCCTCACAGTGCTCGACACCAGCTTCCGATGCGACTGGGTCGTCGGGAGCTGCGGGGAAGGTTCGGCTGGGCCGACTTCCTCGGTAAACGTATCTAGGGATTCCGATTTCTGCGTCCGTAACAAAATTTCCATAACGGCCGATAGCCAATCCAGTTCTCGCAATGGAGAGAATTTCGCGAGATGTGTTCGTGAACTCTATGGCATATTGAATGACAACACAGCAACGTCGGACTGCACCGCGAACCTCGTTGCCTACACCTTCGGTCCACGTCTCTAGCAAGTCCGGCGATTGAATCGTCGACCTGATACGGCTGTCCAGC